AACCAACCTTTTACAAAAATTGATACAATATTAGGACAAAGAAGCGCTGAGCAGATTTGATACTGTATTTTATAGTGCTTTTGGTAGTTTTATAAAACCAAAATTATGGTAATTGTTGAGTGAAAAAATAGGGTATGAATTAGTTAGACGGTAAAATTCATGGGATTACGACTCTGTTGTTTCAGTTTAGGCTCAAACTAAACGTTAAGTAGAGGCAGCAAAAGAAATGATCTACCGGATTTAATATCCCAGAATGAACAAAACTGCTATCTATATAATTCAAACAATACTTCTCGTGTCAGAACAAAGCCCTGAATGTTCCTACTGCTCATTAATTGGTCTCGAATAGTTTTTAGTTTTTGGTATATGAAAAATTAACAAACTAAAAATATTTTAAGCTGATAATACGAAAATGATAAAACTTGAGTCGTCTATGGAAATAATGAGAACAATTAGCTTGCTCATTTCAATTTGGAACGATTATGAGTGCAGAATATTTGCCGCATTTAAATTTTTTTAAAGTATGATTTCGGCAACGGAGCCACACTGTAGTCTAGTGCAATCATTTCGAAGAATTCCGAGATCGGTGCTCATCCTTAGTCAACTTATCAAAAATCGGTTTAAATTAAAACAACCACCCCGGGCATATATATATATATATATATATATATATATATATATATATATATATATATATATATATATATATATATATATTCCTCACTTTCTTCAAAATTCAGATAAGTGAAGGGAAAATCTAATCATAGAAATTTCATGCTATTCAATAGGTACATAAAATTGTAGGGAAACATTTTTTGATCAGTATGTTTTCAAATCTGGAAAAATTACGACTAAGATATAGGATTTCGCACATAAGGTGTGCATTGACATCAACCTAATACTTGATAATCTGTGTCAACAATAAATTGAAAAAACCTTTAAATTTCCGTGAGGCGACAATTTGTAACACGCGACAATTTGTAACAGTATAATAAGCGGGGAACACTGATCTACGTGCAGTGTTCTTCTCATGCCGGATGTAAGCGCAGCGGAGCGAAGCGGAGCCAGTGTATTCTACTTGCCAATGCCTTGTTACGAATTGGCGGCTGTTACGAATCGTCGCCTGTTACGAATTGTCGCCCTACCTCAAATTTTTGGCTGAAGATTTTTTTGGAGGCATTTATCAAAAATAAATTTTTGGATAAACTTTTACTGGTCAGGAGGATTTAAACAATATATGCAACAAAAAGAAAAATTTTTGAGAGCTTTTCAAAAAAGCTAAAAAAAAAAGAGCAAAATATTTAAAAATCGGGTTCTCAGGACTACGTTACGCACACCAAAAAACTCTGCATGTAAAAAAATTTCGTTTGGATTCAAAATTTGTTTGGCGCTTCAAAATGAAAGGGCAACTTTGAAAGTTTACTTAAAAACCGTTTTTGGGTGTTCATAAAAAATGATCACTTTTTATAAATGAAAACTGTGTGAATTGTTTTAGAAAAAAAAATCCTACCTTTTTGTATTTCAATACAACGACTTTCATGCTAAGAGAACAGACAAATACATTTATATTTCGATCACTCTAAAATTTTGATATGGAAAAATTGTATGAAATTTGTATAACTGGCTTTTTCCCATAAACTTAAAGTATAGAATTAATTTGATAAAATTTCAATCTATTTAGTCAACCGGTAAACAACATCTTGACACTTCTAGCAGTTTTGATACGAGAAAACAAGTTGCATCCAATTGTCCCGACAGGCTCAAAATTAGGTTGCTCTAACATATTTAGTCAGCAAGCACTGTCAAAATTCGGCAACAAAGATTCAAAATGCCTAGCAAAATTACCCAAGGCCAAACAATGTATGGTGTTCCGAATCGACCGCCTGAGGAGGATGGTGTATTGTTGAATGTCTCAAATGAGCAATTTTTTTATTGGCTTAAAAATATGAAAAGAAAGTTCTACTTTTTAGGTGAGACCAACTTCAGCTGACCTCGATAAATGTTACATTGGTTCTCCCCCACCAGGACTTCATACAGAGGGGTGCTACGACACTCTAAATCAGGTATGTTCCCAGTGGGACATTTGATGACCATAATCGAGTTAGATTTTTGAATCTAACCACGTGTCATTTAAAATTAGATTATTAAGTTGAATTCTAAAAAAAAATTCAGCAAGATTATAAATGTAGCCAGATTTGATTTCATGCAGTTGATTTCATAGTTTTGACTCAGCAGATTTGAATTCGAACAAAAACGAACAATATTTGAAAATTCAATCGCGTTTTTCTCAAATTAGGTTAACAAAAGAAAAAATTGGAAAAGATCAAAACTTGCTTCGAATTTCACCAGAATTAACATGGTGTAATTTTTTCTCCGAAACTCTCAACCAACATTTTACCCCAAAAATGGGTCATTTTGGCCTTTCTAATTAATCAAAAAACACGCCGAAAATAACGTGTTAATTGATAGGAAAATTATCGAAAAAAAAATTATCGAGAAAATTTTAAAAGGGTTAAATCTCCAAAAACCAGTATACGAGAAAATGTTTTTGCTTGATAGTCAAGAAATGCAATTTTTTTTTATGAAACCCAAACTTTTTGCTTAAAAACAAATTTTAAACATCTGCTTAAGTTTTTGGACATTTAGTTGTTTATAATTTTGTTGGGCGGTGTTAGAGGCTCCTGGTGCTTTATATTACTTGATTGATTAAGAAAGCCAAAAAGACCCGTTTTGGAATTAAATTTTGGTAGAGAAATTCGGACAAAAATTGCGCCTCATTAACTCTATGAGAAAATAGCGTTTGAAAATTTTGCTCGTTTTGTCAAAATAATTTAAATCAACACTGTATTTCATACAGTTTTTACATCAAAAATTAGATCTCAAGGCCAACCTTAAAATTCAAATTTGCAAGCAAAAATTGCTCGAAGATGGTAGATTGCTTTTTAAATTAAATCTGTCTGTTCCACTTCTTGTTCCGGCTTTCGTACGAAAGTAACTGAATGTTTGCGCTCGGGAATGTATTTTCTCTTCAGAAGAATTTCGACTTTTAACTAGCCATTTTTGACGGAATTTGCTTATATCATTCAAAAATTATTCGTGTCTTGAGCTTAAATTTCAAAGATATTTCACTTTTGATAATTTGAAGTTATATGGGTTTAAAAATTGCAGTTTTGGTCAATTTGGGACAATTAACGCGCGATATAGTTTCGCTATTTAGGCGTTAGCGGAAATTTAATCCTTCAAAGAAATCGTTCCAAATTTGTTAGGAGGCTTATATGCAAAAATTGATATGACGCTAGGATCAAAATCTATCACTTTGTAGCTAATATGGTGTGTGGGGGGATGATTTTCATAAAAATAAACTCAAATTAAAAAAAATTGCTTGTTTTATTTTATTGTTTTAATTTTTTCAAGTTATTACTGCTCTATAGACCTTAAAAGGCAGTCGTAACATTCAGTGCTTCACCCAGATACGAGCAGTCTTGTTTGCTATTTTTTATAATATTGGCTCTTCAGCTTTGTTTGAAAGTCAGGTTCAGAACTCGTGATTTCAGCAGACGTAGCACAGCAAACTTATTTAGATGGCCTAAGAATTCCGTATTGAAAACAAAAGTTGTTCGAAAGCTATCTTTAAAAATTTCTTGATCGTGAACTTAATCTTACGTCCTGAAACCTTAAACCAAAATTCTCTCTTAAATCTAAACATAAGTCAATCTCTGCTCAAAATATTCAGTTTTTCTAAAAAGAAAATTTGATGAAAACTTGTCGAGGCTTACCAAAATCTGCTGCATACGCCACTTTAATCATACAAAAAGCTGGTCGAGGCTATTAAAACATATGATTTTATAAAGATTCCGTGTTGAGAAGATTATGCTTGCGAAATTGTCAATAGATTTCATCGACTCAAGTTTAATTTCGTCAAGGGATCATAAACTTTATCCCGTTTTGACTTTTCCGTTCAAATTTTTTGGTTTTCCTCGAAAAAATCTTAAAAATTTTAAAGACGCATTTTGAAAAAAAACTTATGTTTTTTTCTTTTCAGCTGATGAGTGAATTTGGCGTGTGGATATCAGTGGCTATTTTTGTGACCATTGCAATCCAGCTACTGTTAGTCTATCTGTCATGTCAGATTTCAACCAAACACCAAGCCGGAAATTCGTTCATGTTTTCAAGCAGAGTCAAGGACGAAAAGGAGTGAAGAGGAAAATCTTGAAAGGAACATTACAAGAAAAAAACATTTTATTTTGTTATTTGAGCCTACGATTTCAATAGTGGCGAAGAAATTGCATAAAGAAACTGAGAGCAAGAAAATAAGAGAGGTGAACTAAAGAAAAATAATTGGATTTCATTGAAAAATTCTCCTATGCTGTCTATGAAGGAGTATTTACCCTAAAAATGAAGAAACTGAACAGTTAAACATACTAATTTTGAATCTAATTACGAACATTTTCCCTGTCTCCTCCATGTAATAAGGTTTGTAAATTTATCGAGCTTGTTGAACCAAATTGTTGAAGTTAGTTTAGTTGATCTTTTTATGCGGTTGCTTAATGAGCTTGAATTATTTTCCTAATTTTCATTGTAGATAATCAGGTTTCAAGTAATTTTTAGTACCTGGTGTCAAATTAACCAGGTGTCAAAATTATAATCTTTCAAAATAGTCCTTTTTTCGATTTTGTATAATTGCAAACGAGTCCGGAAGGATCCAGCTTTTCACCTCATGAAATGTGCTCACCATCAGGAAGAATCAAAATTTTTGTCATAGTTTCCATATTTTCCCACGCATTCTAGGAAAACTGACAAGTTGTTTAACTGATTCCACCGTCAGTTCAATCCAAACATTGTTTATTTACTCCTGCAAAATATATTAAATTATTTCTAGTTGTTTACTTACACATTTACCCACAAATTGCGAACCCTTCGATCCCAAGATTGAAGCGAGTGAAATCCGTTTTTTACACATGCATGCTGTTTTGAAGTTAAGAAGAAGACTTTGTACTAACTTTGCGAGCAGTCACACACTTTGACTTCCTTGGCGGGTTCGGAGTAAAATCTTGAAAGCTGAAACAGAATTAAATTCGATGTTTTATGAAAATCAAATGCTTTTCATTTAAAAAATATGTCAAAAGAAATTTCAATGAATCTTATGAACCAATGGGTTAGATTGGTTTTTTCCATTGTTTACTTTATTATTTAAAGTAACGGAATATTTGTGCTCGGGTGGGTTTTTTTTCTTCGGACAAATTTCGACTTTTAACGAGCCATTTTTGACGGAATTTTCTAAAATATCATTCAAAAGGTATTGTTGTCCTGAGCTTAAATTTGAAAAGATATTTCACCTGTGATCATTTTTCGTAAAGTTATGGGTGTTTAAAGATAGCCATTTTGGCCAGTTTGGGACAATTAACGCGCGATATATTTCGCGCTATTAACGCGTTAGCGGAGATTTAATCCGTCTTAGAAATCGTTCCAAATTGGTTAAAAGAAGCTTATTTGCCATGATTGATTTGTAACAAGGAGCGAAATCTAATCTTTTGTACTTTATATGGCGTGTGGGAGGATGGTTTTCATAAAAAAAAATTTCAAATTTCAGAAAAAAAAATCATTTTTTAATTTCATTTATTTTTTTAAAATGTTATTTCTGCTCAATAAACCTTAAAAGGCAGTCGGAATTTTGAGGACTTCGCCCTGATACGAGCAGTCTTGTTATTTTTCTAGAACAAACCTAAATATTTTGGTCATTTTGGTCGGGATTAAAGCTGTGTTAAGGAAAATGAACACATAATCACTTCTTGTCTAAAATGGTCACAAATTAACCAAGTTAGTGTATGTGCAAGTATAGATAATAAAACTTTTGTCTCATTAGATTTACAGATCAGGGGCGGATCTAGGATTTTCTCGAAGGGGGGTGGGTGGATTTTCAAAAAAAGTTTGAAAACTTTGTCGACCTTTTTTCATGTCGACAAAATTGATTTTCCGAGCTCTCACAAAGCATTGAAAAGACCCTTTTTATATGAAAAAGTATGCGTCATCTTACGATGCTGTCAGAAACGAATAAGCTGGATGGTTTTTTTATTCTTTACTTTATTATGTTTCTAGAACAAAACTAAAATATTTTGTTTTCAAAAAGGTGGAGGAAGTAACTGGAAGTTGAAAATGTCATAGAGGCTCACTAAGAATTTCTCTACTTCCATTTATTTCCTCCACCTTTTTGAAAGCAAAATTTTTTTTTAGCTTTTACAATACAAATGTCTTATTATTTGTTTGGGGATTTCACTAACTGTTCCGGATTGCGCAAATGCTGTTGATGATTCCGCAAATTCTTATATTTTGAGCGGTACAGTGTTTTAGGTATTTGTTTGTGATATATAAAACAGCAAAGAAGATCAAAGAAAAGTTACGAATTCCTTAATAAATCTGATTTTAACCTGTTGCGGAACACGCCTACAATGCACAGAATGCACAGATTGACCTCGTACTGAGTTGATTTATCAGTGAGAAATAACTGAAGAGTGCGCACTGCATTACCAAAAAGTTTCAAACTATCATTTTCAAAAAATATTCCAATTAAAGAATCTTAAATCAATTAGACTTTTCTGAAAAGGTTTTCCCCAAAAAAGTATCAGATCAACATTGAGCAATCGCATCAAGTCGACAAAAAACACTAACACTAAATCGCGAGTGAAAAAAAATCAATAGGTTAAAAATTATAAGAAATTCAATCTTAAACAGAGTCTCATGTACTACTTGCTGCAGAACGCAGGCAAATTATTGATAAAAGAAAGATTTTATTTTTTTGTGTGTTAGTGTATGTCTATGTGTTTCCTCGTGTCTGTCTTTTTTTGATTGTTACATTTTTTAATCCTAAACTTCTTTCGTTTGTGCTGCAGTGAAACTATTTTCATTGATGCGTATTTTAACTTCAGAAAAATAGTTTTTTTTTCTTGTTGATTTGGTCATAATGTTTGACTTTACTTCACAGCAGTCACCTGTATTTCATTTTAAAGCTGATTTCTTGGTATTTTTTTTTTAAATTAACGATGTATATTTACTATTATAGGTTCAAGTGTTTTGGGTATTTGTTTGAGAGAAGAATGCATCCCAAGGATAAAGTAAAGCTCCAAAAAGGTAAAATATTTAATTTGGTTAAGTTATTTATGATTACATATATCAATTGGGAACAACGACTTAAATGCTAAAGAATTCGTTTTGCTTGATTATATCTTAGCTTTTGTTGATATTTTCTGAACCGTTTTTAGTTGTAGTTTTTTTTAGTTGCAGTTTATCATGCAAGTTTTTCCAATTACATATTTGATACTTTCTATGCAGTTTTTTAGTTGCAGCGTCTGTTAGACAAAGGGTCACTCTCAATTCTTTTTAGGGCCGTTCGAAAAATATTTTGATTTGTTTTTGATGATTTATTTGGACTTTTTTGGTCATTTGGAGTTGCTAAAAATTATATGCGCCGATCTGAAGTTACTGACGTACAGTTGTGACGGTCCAAATTTTCACTTTGGTTTGAGTAGCTTTTTTAAAAAGTCATGGATCTCGAATTGAGCAAGCGTGATACAAATGACCTGCGTGATACAAAAAGTAAACTGCGCAACTCTCAAAAACAGAAAACTGTTGGGATTTTCAAGGTTTTATCTGTTGAGCGTTTGTAAGTTTTTGAAGCTTTTTTTTGTGAGAACTATGGCGGAAGTTTAAGAGTTTTGTTACCTGAAACTTCACAAGTTTTCGAAATTTTAACCTAATTTCACCAAATTTTTAGTAAATTCTCGACAATAACAAATGAAAAATGTAATCGTTGATTTGATTAAATAGCGCTTAGATAACCTTGTCGCTAGTCAAATGTTGTCACTAAATGTGATATCAGAAAAAAATCAAGTCTGATAATTGAGCAAAAAATCCATGCGATAGATGGAATATTTTTTCATCATGCGTTTTTATTCAAAAGCTAAGTTTTGCCTAATTTTTAAGCCTTCAAAAACCATTTTTTGGAAACTTTGTTGAATTTTTTGAATTACTGTTTACTAAAATGATATTGTTTGATATTTGATTCTGATACAAAAAAAAACCGTGATATTTTGGTCAGAATTGGTCATTTTTGTAAGTAGGTAGTCCAATCATTCGAAAAAAGGCCTAAAACATTTTTTTTGATTGAGATTTTTTTGTTTCAAACATTGTATACTTTTGGAATTTTAACGTCTAGTTTTCAAGTTTAAGGCTGCGACTACTGAACCAGTACATTGTTTTTGCCGTCATATACTTGTCAAAAGATGTATCTTATGTTGAGTCTGCCATTTGGAGTTGAAGTAATTTAATTTTTATTTGCTTGATATTTGACCTTTATAGGAGTAAATTGATGAAATTATTGGTTTAGAGCATGAATTCAGACTTTCTGATACTCTAGTATGTAAATGGTTTTGCTGCGACCATTAAAATGGATATACATTTTGCGATCGGGTTAATTTAATACTCTAAAATTTTAAAAACCAGATACCACAAAAAAAGCTTCGAGTGATATATGTATCAGAAATAAGTCAAGAGATACATCATCATGAAACCCATTCTTACAAAATTCAAAAATTTTCAAACAAATTGTCCCAGTGTCTAGAAAACAAATTTTTCATTTTTTGCTCAATTTTTGAAAACTACTAGAAGAAAATGGGTTTACTGCATCGATAGAAGAAAATGGGTTTACTGCAGAACACTACTATTGCTAGCTGGCTTGTGTATAATTTTCAAAATGTTCAATGTTTTCAGTTTCATTTATATGGTACTGAAATGGTACCAAACCACTAGTAAACCAAGTTAACATCCCATTCCTCAAACAAGCAGTTTTTTGGAGGGATGTTAGCTTGGTTTTAGGTGAGAACTTTTAGCCAATCAGAATCGGGTGTTTTAACCTTTTACAAAAATCCGAAATTAACGCGGGCGAAAATCTTAACTTGGTCTATCTTGATCCCTAAAATTTTTCCTTTATGTCTCGATCAGTTTTGCTTAACATGCTAAGAAAAATTTTGAACCCGAGGTTGTTTCAGGCCTGAACTTATCGTGAAAAATATTCCATTCAATTCTGATCTTTAAATTGCAGTAAGCCCGAGAGAAAAACGCATCCGAAAAAAAACGCCCGAGAAAATAAATATATCTTAAGCTAGATGTGTTCAATAAGTGATTGCATCGACATTATCAACTAACTGTTCACACATGCTTGATAAATTACATCAAATGCTAGTAAGTACGTTCCACTTTGATTTTGTCCTTTGGGTGAAATTTCATAACCCACCTGTCTCGAGGCAACTGGCGAATCAAATCTGGATCTCTCCAGTTCTGCAATTCGGACTGCGTTTGATTCCATTGTCCTCTGCAGTTGCATCTTCTCCCGGTAGAAGTTCAGACACAGACCTGTAAATTAAAAGTGTGCTAGGTTTCCTCGAGGTGGGGGGGGGGGGCACTATTTCAAAAAAAAAACAGTTTCGAAAATTCTGTCGACTGTTTTTACGCCCACCAAATTGATTTTCCGACCGCTCTCAAATCACTTAAAAGTCATTATTTTGACCATAAGTTCTGCGACGACGGCAATTTTTTTAAAGTACGTTTTAGCCACTTTTTGGATAACTTTGACCAAAAGACGCGTTTTCTCACTCCTTCCCCTCCCCCCAATTTATAAGTTGGCTAAAACGTACTTTTATGCTCCGAATGCTCTTCTCAGAAAAATTTTAGAGCTTTTAGCCAAAATTGCCGATAATATTAAATTATTTCCAATTGAAGTCGTTACACAATAAAAAGTAAAATTGAAAGATTTTTTTTTCCAGAATAACATCGCTTGAGAGAGCGCCATAAGACTATCAACTAGCCTGTTTTTAATTTCAATAAGTCCAAATTTCAAACTCCGATAAAACTCTGTTAAATTATTTGACGACCATAAATTCAGCAGTTCGAAAATCATTATGCTTCAAATTGGTTTCACAATTTTTTGCTGTTGTGGTATACTTTTCAATTCCTGGCTGATTTTTCTTCGCCAAGGTTTTCGTGCAATGTAAAAATTTGACCGAAAAGCGGGATACAAAAGTAGTCAGCTTTTGATTAAAAAAAAATCTGCATAAACAGCAAAAAGAGTATATGTTTTTGATTGAAACAGATAACATGCCTGTCGATATAACCGATAACGCTATCGCCAAAATCGATAAAATCGATCCCCATGTAAAACGCTCCTTTTTCAGTTCACTCTGATTCGGAGTTTTCGTTAAAGTTTTCACATCAGTTGACAAACTCGGGTGGAACTTCTGGTCTCGGTTGTAGGGGGGTGTCTCATAGAGGTAAGTGTCGTAAATTGAATTTGAAATGGATTTTCGGCCTGGTTCCTTATTGCCGTTTATCATTGTTGACATTTAAAGTTCTGAAATTTTTATAAATTTCTCTTTATTTCGAAGAAAGCGTTCAAATAATTGTCGTCAATAAAATTAAGCAAATTATTTAAATCAAAATGGTAACGATGCTAGTAAATTATTGCCTGTGGATTTAAGAATTGAAGCATAAATAAGAAAAATTGATCTCAAAGTTTTGAAAATTTTTGTGCAGCGCAATGTTAAACGAGCTTTTTACCTAATAAAATTTTGTATAAATAATTTAACTCAAATAACCCCGAGACAATTATAGAACCATTTATTTGGTTGGATCATTCGAGCATTTGGTGTAAATCAGTTTAAGCTTGTCTTAACCAATAATAAATTCGAGTACTGAATCTTAAAGCTTAAACCATGGGTAGTGTCGCTTGTCTGCTTTGGGTAATTAAGTTTCTCAAAAATAAAAGAGCCTGAAGTTTCCTGAGTTGTTGTTCCGCTTTTAATCTCAGTTTTATCTCACTTTAAGTGGCTTAGAATAACAAAACTTATAAAGGGAAATATTAAACAAATCAAGATTAAAATATTTTTGGGAAGGCCCAACTTTGCAAGAGTTGTCTTAGCTTTGGGCTAACAATCAAGTATTTTACGAATATACGGCTTTATCAACCTGTTACGTCAAAAAGGCAAACAGAGACAATTTATCTTCAAGCTTAGCTGAAGGAAGGAATAATTTAGCGATTTATTGTTGAATAAGCGTTTCAGTTATTGAGAATAAATAACAGGAAAAAAACGATAACAATCCTTTTAACCTTTTTTAAAATTTCATTTTAAAGCGTAGTGTAATTTTCTGCTAATTAGCATGTCTGCAGTTTTGTTCACGTCTTTAAAATTAGATATTTTGAGTTCAAATTCAGAATTAGAATTATTTTGAACATATCCGGATTAATGTCTTGCTGCGAAGGGATCAGTAGCCAGATATTTCACTGATGGCTTCAAAATTTAATAAAAGCCCGATTTTACAAACTCAGCAGTGAAAATACGTCAATTTAAATTTGTCAATTTTCAAATTGACCTTCAGAAAACCTGCTAAATTGTCATAAATTGATTGAAGTTAGGCGTAATTTTTTATGGTAACAAATTGACGTTGCATACTTTCAACTAGAACAAATTGGAGTCTAGTTTTGAAGCTTTGAAGAAAATTAGAGGCAAAATTAGGAAGAAAAACGAGTCTAACCATTGACTTGCAGATAATTTCTGATCCACACGTACAGTGTTTATACGTGTCCGATACTTGTTTTGATTCCCAGAAGACCAGAAAAAAGGGAAGGCGAAATCGAAATTAGACAGCTACTTTTTTTAAACGAAGTCACAGTCAAATTGATATAATCTAATTATCAATGCTGGTCGCATTTTCTGTATTTTCAGCTCAAAGCCAAAAATATTTGCGCCCAACTAGCTTGTTAATTGGTCTTCACTCAAATTACATTGCTAAATACTCGGTCAAATTGAAACCTGGGGATGAACCGAGAATTACATCACAAAATACTCGATCAAATTGAAATCTGAAAGTGATTAGTAAAACAACGAGAAACACAGTGGTGTACTCAGGGTTTTTTAATGGCGTTTGCAGTTTTTTTTGCAAAGCTGTGTCTTTCGTTTTATAGTTCAGGGGTGGGTTAGTTTTTTTGGTGCAAAGATGCTTACAAAATTTGTTTATATTATTGCCGGCAATAAGAGTGATGTAGAAAAAAGTATAAATGCAACCGGAAAAAATATCCTTTGAAAAAATATAACGACCGGAATTGAACGAAGGGGTGGTCTCAATGTGTTATTAGGCAAAAAATTTTTTACCTCAAATGAATAATGCAGAAAAAATTGCATTGGGTTCAGTTTTTTTGGATCAATGGGTCAAAATAAAAGGCAAATGAGTTGTTGAAAAAAATTAATGTCCGTTTTATAACCAGATCATTCAGCTTTTAGTTTTTGTATCATGCAAAATTCAACTATGTGAAGATCGTGTTCATTCACACATAAAAACGCTTTGTTCATGTTTTTTCCTCACAGTTTGAACTGCAATCTGCATAAATGAAATAACCACTTTTACCACAGTCGTTTGTTGAAAAAAGTCTTATTAAAAATTAACAACTCTGGAAGCTCAGCTCCGGAACACAATTTAAGTAGAATAAGACAAAAAAACACCATTACAATTTTACAAAATATTTTAAAAGCAGCTTTATGTATGATTTTTAACAACTGTTGTATTCGATATATTCGGAAATTATAATGTTTTCTTGAAAAATCGGTTTATTTGCCTAATTTTTGCAGAGCTTAATGATGTGTTTTGAGTAAGTTTATACATATTCAGTTCTAATATATATTTTTTGAATTTATTTAGAAAAGGAATATTTAATACTGATTTTCAAAAGAAATGAGGTTTTCATTAACCAGAATACTTTATATAGTCGCAGTTTCACTTATCGGCCTGCTTTTTTTCAATCAAATTCAAAAACTTTCCTTCGTGCAAAATTATAGAAAGCAAAATGGCCATAGTCGAAATCATCGTCGAGAAGATCAAGAGAAGATAGAAAAAACGGAACCATTTGTTAAACCTCAAATCATCAGCAATCAATCAGTGATTTCTTCTAGAATATTTGAGCTGCCATATGGTGTTAAGATAACAAGAACAGCTTTGAAAAATCCTGGGAATTATCGCAGTTGGGAAAACGCCCAGAAAAATCTGGAACCTTTAAGAGAAAAAAAACCGGGTGAGAATGGGGAAAAAGTTGACCTCAACTCCGAAGAAGAACTTCTCAACCAGCAAACTTCTGGTAAGTTTGGGTACTCTAAAGTCAGAAGTGATAAAATTGCACTTGACCGGACTATTCCAGACACACGACCGTCTTCATGTAAAACGAAACAATATCACGAAAATTTACCTCAGGCATCGATTATTATTACTTTTCACAACGAGGCAAAATCAGTACTTTTGAGGACAGCGACAAGTATTGTAAGCCGATCGCCAGAAAAGCTTCTGAAGGAGATGATTTTTGTCGACGACCTAAGTGATTACCCGGAAATAAATGGGTCCGATTTCGAGAATGAGTTAGCCATGATAAGCCCGAAAATCAAATTATTTAGAAGTTCCAAAAGAATAGCAAATATCCAAGGTCAAATTTTGGGTTCTAGAAAAGCGACTGGCGAAGTTTTGGTTTTCATGGACAGTCATGTTGAAGTCGGTATAAATTGGTTACCACCTCTTTTAGATCCAATTGCTTTGAATTTTCGCGCAGTTGTTCAACCTACACATGAAATTATAAGCGAGCACAATTTTGGGTATCGACCAGTTGACAATAATGACCTTCAAAGAGGCTCTTTCGACTGGTTCATGACTTATAAAAAGATTCCAATTCCTGAAATTGAAGCAGCTAAGAGAAAGAGTCAGTCTGATGTTTTCTTCACACCTGTTTTGTTTGGAGGTGTGTTTGCCATTCATGCTGATTGGTGGAAAAAATTAAAAGGATTCGATCCTTTTCTCGACATTTGGAGTGGAGAGCAGTTTGAAATGTCATTCAAGGTTAGCTAATAGATGCTACTGAAAACACATTATAAAATATAAATGAAAAGAAAAAATAAATATATAGATTGTGAGTTTCAGATATTTTTATTCAAAATGAAGGCAAATTTATTTGAAGGTTTTGGGCTGAGGCTAGGATATTTTGACCCAACCTAGAAAATGGACAGAATTGTACGTATTAATGATTTTTTTTTGCAATTTTCAAGAGGTAAAAGCAGAATTATCGTATTTTTAAAAAAAAAAATTTTGTATAATTTTTTTTGTAAAATTGATTGTTTGTCAGCCAAAAATAACTCTTATAAACACCAAAAAGTCTATGCTTATGCTCAGTGGCCAGCTACTTGTATTTTCTAGTATAATTATTATTGAAAGCCCAAACGAACTATCCAGTACTGACAAACTTGAGATTAAATTTGATTTTTATAGATTTTAAAATAGATAAAATACTGTATATGAATTGATTAACGATAGGCATTTTAAGTACGTAAATCAATTTGAAATGGATGAAATTGATTTTTACTATCTTTTTTTCAAAATATTTTTCATATATCTTTTTCACTATTTCAGTCATCAAATAACATATTATAACACTAAAAAGTTCAATTTAGAAAAGCTCATTTTGAAGAGAATTATTTTGAAGATATCCGGATTAATGTCTTGCTGCGAAGGGATCAGTAGCCAGATATTTCACTGATGGCTTCAAAATTTAATAAAAGCCCGATTTTACAAAGTCAGCAGTGAAAATACGTCAATTTAAAGTTGTTAATTTTCAAATTGACCTTCAGAAAACCTGCTAAATTGTCATAAATCGATTGAAGTTAGGCGTAATTTTTTATGGTTACACAATTGACGTTGCATACTTTCAACTAGAACAAATTGGAGTCTGGTTTTGAAGCTTTGAAGAAAATTAGAGGCAAAATTAGATAACTTCTGATCCACACGTACAGTGTTTATACGTGTCCGATACTTGTTTTGATTCCCATAAGACCAGAAAAAAGGGAAGGCGAAATCGAAATTAGACAGCTACTTTTCTTAAACGAAGTCACAGTCAAATTGATATAATTTAATTATCAATGCTGGTCGCATTTTCTGTATTTTCAGCTCAAAGCCAAAAATATTTGCCCCCAACTAGCTTGTTAATTGGTCTTCACTCAAATTACATTGCTAAATACTCGGTCAAATTGAAACCTGGGGATGAACCGAGAATTACATCACAAAATACTCGATCAAATTGAAATCTGAAAGTGATTAGTAAAACAACGAGAAGCACAGTGGTGTACTCAGGGTTTTTTATGGCGTTTGCAGTATTTTTTTTTGCAAAGCTGTGTCTTTCGTTTTATAGTTCAGGGGTGGGTTAGTTTTTTTGGTGCAAAGATGCTTACAAAATTTGTTTATATTATTGCCGGCAATAAGAGTGATGTAGAATAAAGTATAAATGCAACCGGAAAAAATATCATTTGAAAAAATATAACGACCGGAATTGAACGAAGGGGTGGTCTCACTGTGTTATCAGGGGTTATCAAATTATGATACCATCAACAAAAGTTGGAGTTTCCGATGGACTTCAATTTGAGAATTCGGTCAGGCAAAAATTTTTTATCTCAAATAAATAGTGCAGAAAAAATTGCACTGGGTTCAGTTTTCTTGGATCAAAGCGTCAAAACATAATGCAAATGAGTTGTTTCTTAACCAGATCATTCAGCTTTTAGTTTTTGTATCATGCAAAATTCAACTACGTGAAGATCGTGTTCCTTCACACATAAAAACGCTTTGTTCATGTTTTTTCCTCACAGTTTGAACTGCAATCTGCATAAATGAAATAACCACTTCTACCACAATCGTTTGTTGAAAAAATTCTTATTAAAAATTAACAAACTCTGGAAGCTCAACTCCGGAACACAATTTAAGTAGAATAAGACAAAAAAAACACCATTACAATTTTACAAAATATTTTAAAAGCAGCTTTATGTATGATTTTTAATACCTGTTGTATTCAATATATTCGGAAATTATAATGTTTTCTTGAAAAATAGGTTTATTTGCCTAATTTTTGCAAAGCTTAATGATGTGTTTTGAGTTAGTTCTTACATATTCAGTTCTAATATATATTTTTTGAATTTATATAGAAAATTAATATTTAGTACTGATTTTCAAAAGAAATGAGGTTTTCATTAACCAGAATACTTTATATAGTCGCAGTTTCACCTATCAACCCTGCTTTTTTTCAATAAAATTCGAAAACTTTCCTTCGTGCAAAATTATAGAAAGCAAAATGGCCATAGTCGAAATCATCGTCGAGAAGATCAAGAGAAGATAGAAAAAACGGAACCATTTGTTAAGCCTCAAATCATCAACAGTCAATCAGTGAGTTTTTCTAGAATATTTGAGCTGCCATATGGTGTTAAGATAACAAGAACAGCTTTGAAAAATCCTGGGAATTATCGCAGTTGGGAAAACGTCCAGAAAAATCTGGAACCTTTAAGAGAAAAAAACCGGGTGAGAATGGGGAAAAAGTTGACCTCAACTCCGAAGAAGAACTTCTCAACCAGCAAACTTCTGGTAAGTTTGGGTACTCGAAAGTCAGAAGTGATAAGATTGCACTTGGCCGGACTATTCCAGACACACGACCGTCTTCATGTAAAACGAAACAATATCACGAAAATTTACCTCAGGCATCGATTATTATTACTTTTCACAACGAGGCAAAATCAGTACTTTTGAGGACAGCGACAAGTATTGTAAACCGATCGCCAGAAAAGCTTCTGAAGGAAATGAATTTTGTCGACGACCTAAGTGATTACCCGGAAATAAATAGGTCCGATTTCGAGAATGAGTTAGCCATGATAAGCCCGAAAATCAAATTATTTAGAAGTTCCAAAAGAATAGCAAATTTCCAAGGTCAAATTTTGGGTTCTAGAAAAGCGACTGGCGAAGTTTTGGTTTTCATGGACAGTCATGTTGAAGTCGATATAAATTGGTTACCACCTCTTTTAGATCCAATTGCTTTGAATTTTCGCGCAGTTGTTCAACCTACACATGAAGTTATAAGCGAGCACAATTTTGGGTATCGACCAGTTGACAATAATGACTTTCAAAGAGGCTCTTTCGACTGGTTCATGACTTATAAAAAGATTCCAATTCCTGAAATTGAAGCAGCTAAGAGAAAGAGTCAGTCCGATGTTTTCTTCACACCTGTTTTGTTTGGAGGTGTGTTTGCCATTCATGCTGATTGGTGGAAAAAATTAAAAGGATTCGATCCTTTTCTCGACATTTGGAGTGGAGAGCAGTTTGAAATGTCATTCAAGGTTAGCTAATAGATGCTACTGAAAACACATTATAAAATATAAATGAAAAGAAAAAATAGATATATAGATTGTGAGTTTCAGATATTTTTATTCAAAATGAAGTCAAATTTATTTGAAGGTTTTGGGCTGAGGCTAAGATATTTTGACCCAACCTAGAAAATGGACGGAATTGTACGTATTATTGATTTTTTTTTTGCAATTTTCAAGAGGTAAAAGCAGAATTATCGTATTTTAAAAAAAAAAACTTTTGTATAATTTTTTTTGTAAAATTGATTGTTTGTCAGCCAAAAATAACTCTTATAAACACCAAAAAGTCTATGCTTATGCTCAGTGGCCAGCTACTTGTATTTTCTAGTATAATTATTATTGAAAGCCCAAACGAACTATCCAGTACTGACAAACTTGAGATTAAATTTGATTTTTATAGATTTTAAAATAGATAAAATACTGTATATGAATTGATTAACGATAGGCATTTTAAGTACGTAAATCAATTTGAAATGGATGAAATTGATTTTTACTATCTTTTTTTCAAAATATTTTTCATATATCTTTTTCACTATTTCAGTCATCAAATCAATCACTATTTCACTGTTTCATAGTCACAAGGTACGTTTGTTTTGGGTTTTGAACATTTTACCCAACGAAATCTTTTTTTTATATAAAAAAAAATTTTTAGACAAAATGCATTCTTCACAATTTTTGTCTCTCATTGCACAACGGCAGAAAAATTAAATTTCAGCAACCCAAAAATTTTCAAGAGTTTTCTGAGAAATTTTTTTGACAAGTTTGTTTGAATTACACTATTTGAAAAAGGGTGACATCTCAAATTAGTGAAAAATCAAAGTTTTTTTGTCGTTTTTACTTAAAAACCCTGTTTAACAAAACGGTTGATCCCGATTATGTTTGAGCATCGAGTTATCAAATTTGATTGGATATCCTAAGCTTAGCTCATCATTATTTGTGAGAAGCCGCGACGTAAAATATCTTCAAACTCGCTTTTTAAAAATTTAAATGATCAAAAAAACTCAAACCTGAAAATTCAAGCGGTTCATGGGTTGTTTTTCCAAATGTTAATAGTTGTTCATGTTCATAATTGATTTTTTTCGTGGTTTTAGTTCTGAGACAATTTTCAATTTGTTAACCTAGCCACTTTTAAAAAAGTGTTTTCAGGTTATCTTGACATCAGAGCTGAAACTTAAAACACCATTGCACCACTGACCCTTTTTCGTTAAATTATGGGTTTTGAAAAGGGCTCATTTGACCAGTTATGACAAAAAGTTTGTGATATACTCATAGCTATTAATGCGGTAGAGATTATTCAATCAGGTTCATAAATCTTCCAAATAAACAACTAGATGCCTTTTTGGTCCTACTATTAAAACAATTTCAGCTAAATGCATAACTATTCACTTTATTTAACTTTCAGAGGAAAAAGAACAAAAAATGAGAAGACAAAAATGAAACATTCGATAATTTTTGAGGTGTCGCCCGGATATTAGCAGTCTTTTTTGTTTGAGCCGTTATTGAGTTTATCTGTGCTCCCGCGCCGAACGCTCATAGATCATAATCGATTATTTTGTCGGTATCTACAAAATTACAAAATAATCGACTATAATCCATTAAAAATGAGCCATTATAATCGTTTGTAAACCATATAAACTGAACTATATTCTTAAGAATTTTTATGCCAACATAAATCATTATAATAGATTCTAATCGAATCTAATGGAGTTCGTGAAATTTACATTTTTTTTCAAAGTTATCTCATTTCCTGTTTACTGCAGTTGCTACATGTTACGTTTCATAATTTTTTACATTTCAAGAAGAAGTTTATTTTTTTTTTGGATTATAATGGATTATTTTTGTCTCGGGAATCCATTATAATTGATTAGATTCAATGGTGCTCAGTTCAAATTATGATATGGTTCAAATTGCGAGAATTTCAATGTCAGCTTGCATATTCGCTTGAGCAAAATTGTGTTGTTATCAAGCCCAGGTTTAACAGATAGAGCCTGCTTACAAAGCTGTGGCCTGGATTTTTTCTGGGCTTTTATTTGGTTTTTATAACCATTTTTGACTCGTTTGTTTGATAGGTTTAATCGGACAGTTTTTTTTTCAAAAGTAGGCTTTATGTGCAGCCTATACTTCATTATTTGGAAAGTTGAGATTGTTATCCGCTGTTAAGTCTTCTGGGTTGAATGTTTTGCGAGTGGTTTCAGTATCTGAACAATTAACTGCGTATCCACTATAAAAAAGTTTAAATCCAATCGCGCTTAACCCTTGGTTAGTGAAATCGTTGTTTACCTTTTGATTGTGAAAGACAAACAAAAGTCTTTAATCGATTACATCATTTGATTCAAGCGGTGGGAGATTTGAATAACAGTTCTTGCGACCTGTTTCCCTTTTCTTAGGGAGTGCAAAAGTTAGCGATAATTAAACTAAATATACTAAAATGGAAACCAGGCATAAGACTCCTTCAAAGATTGTAAAAGAAAAATCATTGGATTTCACAGCACAAATGATAACCGATAATTATATCAACTATTTAGCTTTCAAAAATCCAAAAACAAGAAAACAACGGTTTCATTAATAAGAGAAAAAATTGATGGAGTCGGATAAGGCGCGGATCTATGATTTTCTCAAAAAATTGATTTTTGTTAGCCAATTTTTAGGTACAATCTTAAGCCTCCATTTATATTTTAAGCTCTCCCATAACAATATAAAGATCGTATTTTGAGAAAAATGTTTGTGCCACTTTTAGGCACCTTTTGACCAAAAGATCGGTTTTGACCAAAAGATCGTGTTTTTGGGGTCGCAATCCCCCTCAAAATTAATATACATTAGTTCTTAACACCACGGCGCCTTTCAAAAATTGTAAGGGTTGGTCAGCTTAAATGGATTTCGTACAATAGTATCCAAGGGGTGGACCTTTTAGTGAGTGCGAGGGTCAAATCCCTGATCTCTAAATCCGCCACTGATTCGCATGCCTGCTATGTCCAGGTGGTGTTATTTGGACTATACTCTTCTGCTCTCACTCTCCTAATGTCATATTTGATCCTCAGTAGTATTGTAATCCGCCGTGTGTCCTTAGGGGGGGGGGGGTCTTTTCGACGGTAGGGGTCTTTGGGGTCCTACCAAAAGTAGGGTCCAAAAGGACCCATCTTTTTTAAAGACCCCAAAGTACCCTGCCCGAAATAAAAAGACCCCTCTCTAAGGACACCCGACAGACAAAATACTTTGGTATTTATTTTCGCGGGGTGGTTAAATTTAATCCCTTCCAAACTTTCCCACCACTAAATAAGTATGGGTATATCCGGCTGCGGTTTTTTCGCTTATTTTTATCTAAAAGCTAATCCTTTTCGTTCATATAAATATGAGTTTACATAAAGTACCATTCATATTTCCTTTTAAAAATTGTTGGTAATTATTGTTCGTTTCTCTTTCTTATTTTATTTTCAAACTTATTTCCAAGTCTCCCTTAATTTCGACTTGCACCATTTTGATTCTTTTAGCCTTACTATTAGCTTACTTTGGGAAACTTCGCTCCTGCTTCAATCCTTCGCTCCTGCTTCAAGGGTAAGTTGCAATTACCAGTCTCTTTTGCGCCGGTCTATTTAACTTAAAACAATGTTTGCTGAATGTTTTATATTTACAAATGTACAGCCGTAATTCCAAGTAACAAGGCAATTTGGCCGACATTTTCAAGTGAAAAATTTTATTGATCAACTTTATCAAGTTTTCTCCTTTTTTTCTGACTAGAACGAACAGACGCTTCTGTTAGAATGAATGGATTATTGATAGGCGGAGGGTCTCTTGAACTGCTAGCTGCGCTTTCTTCTTGAAGCTCTTCCTCCGTATAGCTTTCTTGAAGAAAGCCCCAATCTGGGACCCGGAATTCCGGCGATTGCCAGCTTTCGCTGTTTTCGCTGCTATAAATCGGGGTATTTGTCAACTGTGAGTTTGCCCACTCGCTTTCTTCCGCAATGGCCTCGAAGAACACGTTTTCTTCTGTAGACCTGTGTCCAAAGGGCAATGTAGCTATCCCGTCGAATAGTAAGAACCGCTTACTATCGAAGGGTGAAAGGCAATTCGGTTCTGCGCTATGGTTATGTTGGTATGGGCTTTCGATTTTATTAAGTAGTTGTATATACGAAGGGTTTTTCCACTCAGTAATGTTTCCCTGAACCTCTGGTGTGTAAGTTGCTGCTGGGAGTGTTGTACTACTCCTTTTGCACTCCTTTTGCTAGTTGAATCTAAATAAAGAACAAAGATTAGCCCATAAACATATTTTAGCTTTGTAAGACCAGTTCTAGTATTAATAACGAAAACGGTTCCCAAATTTGAATATTTTGAAGACTCAATATCTAATAACATTCCAATTTTTTCAATTCCAAAAAGTTTAAATATCTTAATTCATTCCAAATCATAAAAATTCCAAAAAGTTTAAATATCTTAATTCATTCCAAATCATAAAAATTCCAAATCGTGTCATTATCAAAAAAATCATTCCATGTCAAAATTTTAAATTTGTTAACGTCAAAAGTTACAAAAGTGCGTTTGTGGTGAGTATTTGTTTAAAACATTTTAAATGATGAATGGTTCTTCATTTTAAGTTTTTAAATGAAGAATCAGAGCCTTTCAGGGCTAGTTATGTCTAATTAAATTGACAGGGATCAACAAAAGTTATTAATTTGGTCCCAACAAAATCCAAAACCCCAATGAAGGGAACCCTTAATGTAAAGAAATGGAGGGGACTTGGATCCAAAATGTATCCCCACTCAGATTTATCGTCGGTTTGCAAAATAAATTCGAGACTTTCCTCAACTATTGAGAAATCTTTGATGGGAAGGGGACAGTGTTTCATAATACCCCCGTATAAATTGTTAGCGTCTATATTCAATAGATAGCTAGAGGGCTCTTCAGGATTGTAGTCTTCGAGGTATTTGTTGTTGGCTTTAAAAAAACGGCGTGCATATATCGATGACATCCCTCCCCGT